AAAGCATGTGGAATTGAGGGACGCTTGACAAGATGGATCCGAAACTGGCTTAGTAATAGGACGCAAAGGGTAGTGGTAGAAGGCTGTTTGAGTAACTGGAGGCCAGTGTTCAATGGTGTACCATCAGGATCAGTACTGGGACCCTTATTGTTTGTTACATACATAAATGATATAGATGAAATGTGTAGGAAATGTTAAGCAAATTTGCAGATGACACCAAGATTGGTAGAGTGGTTAATAGTGAAGAAGAAAGTTGTAAGTTAGAGGAAGATATAGATGGGTTGGTCAGATGGGCAGACCATTGGCAGATGTTATTAAATGTCAGTGGACAATGGTTAGATGATCTCTTGTTGGCGATGGTTGTTACCTGGCTTTTGTGTGCCATGAAAGCTGCATTCCACTTGTCATCCCAAGCCTGGATATTGTCTAGGTCTTGCTGCATTTGTGATGGGTTGCGTTATTATCTGAAGAGTCACGAATGATGCTAAATGTCCCATGATCATCAGTGAACCTCCCTACCTCTGACCTTATGAAGGGAAGGCCATTGATGAATCAGCTGTAGATGATTGGAAATAGGATATTACCTTGATGAGCTCATAAAGTCATAAATCCTGCAGTGATATCCTGAAGTTAAGATGCCAGACTGCTAAAAATCGTCCTTTTGTGTTAAGTCTGACTCTAAGGAGCAGAGAGCTTTCTCTTTGATTTCCATTAACTCTAGTTTTGCTACAGCTCCATGATGCCACACTTGTTCAAATATAGCCTTGATGTCAAGGATAGCCGTTGTCATCTTCCCTATTGTTGAATTCAAAACTCCTACTTTGAGGAGAAGACACAAACATTAATTATTAAACACACAATAGACATTTAGTAGTGTTAACCTTTCTTAGTTACAGTGCCCTCTTCCAAGGGCTAACCCTATGTTGACACATCCTCTTGTGTGCCTGTAGCACCAGTGTCAGCAAATTTCCCTATCAGTCTAATGCTGTAATGTTGTCAATTAAAACAGGAGATTCATGCTAATTTTTTTTTGTGAAAAGAGCTGAGGGATGAAACTTGGTTAAATTTTAATAATGTATCTTCCTTAATGATTGCATGCAGTATTTAATTCAATACAGAATCTCAAGTAATTCATGAAACACCTCATGCACATTGTTGGGAAGTTTCTAGTCCTAGGCTGGGTTGTCTGACATAGACCTCTCTTCCTTGTTATGAGCACAGGAAAGTAATAGTACAGATAAAGTAAGTACACCCTTGGGTATTTAAGCAAAAACTACTAGGGCAGGCTTTTGCTAGACTCCTAAGTTTTAAAATGAAAGAGGGAAGTTAGAACTTAGTTTGTTGTAATTGAGTGAAAACCCTAATGAAAGATATGGTGCACTCGTATTTTCCAATATTCAGAGGTTAGAGAGGCAAGGTATTGTTACAACCCTGGGTTGCATTAACATATATTGTGTAGGCACAGAATATTCATATAAAGTGAGACCATTTGTCCAGTTGTGTATGTGGCGGCTCTTTGAAAGAACTCTCCAACTTAGATGCACACCTTAACAATTTTCCCGTCAGCTGCAAGTCCTCACCAAGTACGTGCCCTCCAGCCTTCTGAACTTTTCTGTGGTTCCTTGTTCCACTACATTTTCAGATATTAGAAATTTTCCTCATTTACCCTCTAGTTTTTACCAATTACTTCAAATCCCTGGCATCTGGTTAGTGACCCACTTGCAATCGGGAACAGTTTCTCCCTAAAATGTCCTATTAAAATAACACAAAAATTTAATTCCTCTCCCTCCATCTCTGTACTCTCTGAGAGCAATCTCAATCTTTCCACAGAATTGAAATATCTTTGTTCCTGATATCATCCTGGTGAACCTCTTTAACTTCAACTCCAAGATCTTGACATCTTTTCGAAATTGCAGTGCTCAGGATTGTATACAGTACTCTAAGTGAGATCTAACAATGCATCTGAAGTAGTTTTGCATAGCTTCTTTGATTTTATATGCAGTTTTCCTTTTTATAAAGCTAAGTATCCTGTATGTTTTGTTGGAAACGTTATCCACTTGCTGTCACCATCAAACATTGGTGGTTATGGAGCCTCAGATCCATCTGCCCTTGCACTCCTCTCAAAATAGTATGATTCAGATTATTAGATAGCAAGAACTGCAGATGCTGGAGTCAGAAATAGTGAAGTGTGGAAAAGAAGAAAGGTCCCGGACCCGAAACATCAGCTTTCCTGTTCCTCTGACGCTGCTTGGCCTGCTATGATTCAGATTATTCTGTCTCTCCATCTTGATCTTCCCAAAGTGCACATTTAGCCCATTACTTTGCATGTGCTACCTGTTTGCCCATTTCAGCAGTCTGCCTGTTCCTTCCTGAAGTCTGCTTGCAGGCTTACTATTTACTACCAATTATTATATTAACCCAAAACTTTGCAAGTGCAGTGTCTATAACTTAGTCCAAATCACTTGTATAATAAAGACGGTGCTACCAATGCAACAGAAGAGATGGCGATAGTAGTAGACCATACTGCCCATCAAGTCTACTCCACCATTCAGTATGATCATCGCTGATTTTGGGCTTCAGCTGTATTTTCCTGCCCACTCCCATATCCTTTGCCTGACAAACAAATCTGAGGGATACTTCCAGCCACCATTCCTGCTATCTGCCACCTTTAACAAACATACAAATTAGGAGCAGAATTAGGCCATTTGGTTTCTCAAGCATGTGCCACTATTCAATAAGATCTTGGCTGATCTGTTTATGCTTTGAATTCCACATTCCCATCTACCTCCAATAAGATTTGATTCCTTTGCTTAACAAGAATCTATCTATCTCTGACTTAAAAATATTCAGTTGCCCACCTGCTTCTGAGGCAGAGTGTTCCAAAGCCTTTTGAGTTTTCTGAGAGAAAATTCTCCTCATCTCTGTCCTAAAAGACCCTAATTTTTAAACAGCTCCCTCTAGTTCTGTATTCATCAGCAAGATCTTTTTCCCCACTCACCTGATCAAAACCATTCACAAGCTTATATACTTAAATTAAGACATCCGTCACTCTTGTAAAGTCTGGTGGAAACAATCCAAGCCTGTTCAATCTCTCCTCAGAAGATAACCTGTTCATTCCAGGTTTCAACTAGTAAATCTTCCCTGAACTGCCTCCAGTGCATTTACGTCTTGCCTTAAAAAAGGAGACTGAAATCACATTGGTCTCACCAATGCATTGTATTAATGGAGCATAACATGATTTCAAGTTCCATTTTTCTAGTAACGAACTATAGCATTTAATTAAAATAATTAATTAGCTGCTGCTCCTGGATGCTGAGTTTTTTATGATTCATGCAGTAGAACACCTGGATCCCTCTGCACCTCAAAATTCTGCAGTTATTTCCTGTTGAAGTAATTCTATTTTTTTATTCTTCTTGCCAAAATGAATAGCTGTACATTTTCTCATATGCTCCATCAGCTAAATTTTTGCCTACTCACTCAACTATATTCTATGTTCTTCATCTGCAAACTTCTTATGACCGCTTCTTATTTTCCTTAATTATTTGAATACTAAATTGTCACTAATCCTGTAAACTCATGCTTCTAATTCCATGTAGTTCTGATATGTGTTAGTTTATCAAGTGTTCTGTGATAGTCCGTATATATTTAACATCTGCACTATCTTCCTCAACCCTCCCATTTCCACACACATTAGTTATTGGGAATGTCCTGAATGTAAACCACAGATAAGCATCTATCTGTCTGAGACAACTAGAAAAGCAGACCCAGATTTATAACACTCCTGCTCAGTCTGATAACTTAACCTCACAGAAGTAGAATTCACTAAAAATGCAGACCATTCTTGCAGCTCTTTATCACTCTACTGCTTGTATTGTGACCCCCTTGTGTCTGGTTTTATACAGGGCACGGCGAAAGCTGGAGAAGAATGTATCCGTTATGACAATGATTTTCAAAGAGTCATCGCCGGGTCACAGAACAAGGTGTCAAGAGGATGACATCATTGCAGTCATGGACAGCAAAACAAACCGTGTGCTGCACTATCAGAAAGCCCATAGTCTGAAGAAATTCCGATTTCCCATGGTATGTGTCATTGCCCTGGAAAAACCCAGCAATTAGTCCCCTCTTGCTGAAATACTTCCTCTTAGACCTCGTCCTAACAGCTGTGCCCAATGTAATTTGCCAAAGACACACGGTAGATAAAGTAGCCTCTGAAGCTGCCAGTTGTCTCCACCCTCCCACTGCATGGAAAACTGACAACGTAGGACGCATGCAACTTGCTTTGATTCCTTCCTCCCAGTAAGGAAAATATGAACAACTGATGGCATCTTCAGGCAATTTCAATCAGATATTCAGACATAGCAAGAACTGCAGATGCTCGAGTGAGAGTGAGCACAGTGTACAGCTGGAAGAACACAGCAGGCCAGGCAGCATCAGAGGAGCAGGAAAGTTTACGTTTCGGATTGGGACCCTTCATCCATTCTGATGAAGGGACACAACCCAAAATGTTGACTTTCCTGTTCATCTGGTGCTGCCTGGCCTGCTGTGTTCTTCCAGCTCCACACTGTGTTGACTCAATCAGATATTCAAACTGCTAACAACAATGCAGGCTGTGGAATAGTGCAGTCTTCTGGCAGCTGATCAATGTAGCCTGAGGACCTGACATTGCCTGAAATCAATCGACTTTTTAAATTGCTAAACGCTTAACTGAACTGCACAAGTGCTGAGCTTGCTTAATGTATTTAGTATAGGACTTTTGTAATTGAAGTCTACATTAAAGTCAAACAGATGCGCAGGCATGTTTCTAAAATACTCAGGCATAGTCCTATCGCTCTGAGGCACAGGGCACAGGCACCTATTAACTCACTTAGTTGCTACATTACTGTGAAGGACTGGGTACGGGCCTGAAAGTGTATAAATAACATGGATGTTATAAGCATTGAGACCATATTTCCTTGACTTTGGAATTGACCAGAAGGATTTTTGTGGTCTTTGCATTTTTTTTTTCAATCTATGATAGATCCATTTCACAGGGTTTTACAGTCTACTAACTGCGGCTACAATTAGTTATACCTCAGCTGATCTTTATATACAGGGTAGAAGCTACACTAGAGATATGCAGAGCCCTGGCTGAAACACATCTGGAGTGCTGTATTCAGTTCTGAGCATCACATTTTTGGAAGAATGGACTGGCTTTGGAGGGATTGCAGTGTAATTTTGCCAGAATGATACCTGAACACCAAGCATTAAGTCATTTGCAATTCCTTGGAATTTAGAAGTTTGGCTGTGATTTGGCACCAAGTTTTTCAAGTACTAGAGAATTCAGGAGTAGGGAGCATGGCTTTAAAACTTACAGCAAGACCTTTCCAGTGTGAATTTAGGGAACACTTCAATATGAAAAGGGTGCTAATAGTTGGAGCTCTTGATCACTAGTGGTAATTTGCATAGGTTCAATTGTTAATTGTAAATTTGAGATTGGTAATTTCTTGTAAACAAGAGGTATTAAGGGATATGAGACAAAGTTAAATATTTAAAGCTGGACCAGCCATGTTCTCTTTGAATTGCATAACATGCTAGAAGGACTGTACTGTCCTGTTTGTTTATAAGTATAGTGACAGACCTGCAGCCTTCCTCACTGCTGTACACCAATGCTCTGAGTTCATTCCTTAGATGTCTGTGTTTGGAAGGATTGAATATATAGGTGGAATATTATGAAATTTACATGTTGTGGGGTGGTCATATGCGGAATTTTGTTGTGGAGATCAATCATGCTGGCACGTTTCTAAAGATGTTAACTTACGATGGAAAAAACTAGCTGTCAGGTTCATTGGCGGAATCCTGATGTACGTGTTTGGTGAGTAAAGTTTTTTTTTTGCTGAGGGAGCAAATTCATTATGTTTACCCTAATAATTGTACGCATGTCCACCATCACACTTTCCTAAAGCCTTATTTACAAATTACTGTAATTTTCCTTCTGACTGTTGCAGCTTTTCATTTTGGCATGCGGTCAAGTTATTATCTTTGTCACATGGTGTAGAAGGGAGGGCCCACTGTGGTGTGAATGAGAGTCACTGATAAAGTTTAAACCAAGCTTTAATTTTCATCCACCTTTAGTTTCTGTCACTAACAGCTCACAGAGTTTATCCACTAATGCGGCAGCCATTCTCAAGAACAGTCTGTATAAGTCATTTGGCTTCTATTGTAAGAGGAGGTTTTATTTCAATGCTGTTCATATCTTATTTTCCCCAGCACGTGTTCCACAGCAGCACTGATGAGATTGAAATCCGCCATGATCTTCTGGACTGTCACATAAGCATCTGTTCACCACAGGTCAGTGAAGAAAATGCGTCCTGATTATTTCACAGAGGCGGCTCAGGCTGATCAGTATCTCCACTGCGGTAATAATGAAACTTGTGCAATGTTTATGCAAAACTAATTAAAGTAGAAATAAAGATTTGTATTTATTATTTAGTATTTCCAGGACACAAACGGACCATTTGCCCGAGTTGGCCTGTGCCTGTTTTAACACTCCACACAAGCTTCCTCCCACCCTTACTCCATCTCACCTGATCTGAATATCTTTCTGTTCCTTTTACTTTCATGTATCTATCCAGTTGTTCTTAAATGCATCTGTACTGATCACCCAAATGACAGCTTGTGATAAGCATTCTACATTATAACCATTCTGTGTATCAAGACGTTTCTCCTAAATTCTACAGTTGATTTATTAGTAACTATCTTTGTTCATGGACCCTCGTTTTGGATTTCCTCACATACACACATCTTCTCTGCTTCTACCCTATCAATCCCTTTCTCCGTCGGTTCATCCTTCAACTTTTTTCTGCCTGAAGAAAAGCCCTTCCTGATGGGTAGAGTTTCTTAGTTCTGGTAAATTGAGCCTTTCACAACCTCAGGATGACCCGGAACACCATACAACCAGCGAGGTAATTTTGAGCGGTAGACAGTCACTGTTGTAAAATAGGAAAGAACTGAACCTTGCAGACCTGTGTTTAGTGGATGGGGAAACCAAATAGTTTTCAGTCTTGTACTTGTAAGCCAGGCCAGCAGAAATATTCACTTGCTGTGGCAGAGGTGCCTGCAAATTAGAAACCAAGGTGAATGGTCGAAAATCTGGCATTTCAGAGCATTTTTCATTTCAGTCAGGTCCACAAAATTAGGAAGAGGAAAGATCAGTGTTTCAGTTTGAAAGCTTGCTTCAGTCCTGAAGGAGATTGCTAATGTGACCATTTTTCTCTCTCCCAAATGTTGAAGGAATTCCCTTGAATTTTCAAAAGACTGAGTTTTTATTTCAGCCATGGGCAGCATTTCCATCATCTCTAATATTGAAATTACTTACCAGGTTGCAGAGCTGTTCACTGATAACTTCGACTACCAAACTAGGGATGACTTTGTACGTGGGATTCTTGTTAATGAAGAGGTGAGTTTTCAATTTTTCACTTGGCTTTATTTAAAACTAAATAGTAGCTAGCGGATTTACAGTTGTGTGAACCCACCTCCAGTCTCTCTGTTCTCCTATGGCAAGTTTTAGATATTGTAGCATGAGGGAGCATTCTGTAGTTATCTTGGTTCTCTTCCCTCCCCCAGTGGAATGACTGTTGCGAAAGCTTTCTCATGGTGTAGGTTGGTGCTTGGCTGTAAATTGTGACTGTGTCGTAAGTTGTTATACTATCCAAGTTGGAATCAAGCAGCACAGGAACGACAGGACTGTAAAATGGTGAGGCAACCCAACAATGTGGAAAGTTGTTCAACTAGGTCCTGACTACAAAAAATAGGCCAATTACAATCAGGTCATTAATCTACTCCCTATCATCAGCAAAGTGATGGAAGGTGTCATTGAAAGTACAGTCAAAGAGAACTCACGACTAACCTGAATGCCAGTGCTCCGTTTGAGTTGTAGAAGGGTCATTTGGCTTTTAATCTCATTACAGTCTTGGCCCAAATATGGACAAAAGAGCTGAATTTCAGATTTGAGATGAGAGTGACTGACTTGACATCAAAGCAGCATTTAGCAGAGTTTGGCATCAAGAAAGCTTAACAAAACTGAAACCATTGGGCATCGTGGAGGGGATGGTGTGGTGGTTGGGGAGAAGTGGGGCAATCTTCCAGTCATTGGAGTTATATCTGGCACAAAAGAGGATGCTTGTGGTTCTTGGAGGCCAACTATTTCAGTCTTAGAACATCTCTGCAGGAGTTCCTCAGGACATTGCCCTCGGCCCAACCACCTTCATCTGCTTTGTCAATGACTTTCCCTCCATCATAACATCAGAATTGGTTATGTTTGCGTATGATTGCACAATGTTCAGTACTGTTTGTAATGACACAGGTACTAGAGCAGTCCGTGCCTTCATGCAACATTCAGGCTTGGCAAGTAACATGCATGCAACAGAAGTGACAAGCAGTGACCATCTCAAATGAGAGAATCTAACCATCTTCCCTTGATGCTCTACAGCATTACCATCCCTAAATTGCTCACTATCAACATCCTGGGGGTTACCATTGACTTAAAACTGAACTGGACTAGCCATGCAAATACTCTGGCCACAAGAACAGATCAGAGGCTGGGAATTCTGTGGCAACTATCTCACCTACTATCTCCCCAAAGTGTGTCCATCGTCATCTACAAGCCACAAGTTTGGGTTGTGAAGAATGCCTTCCAGTTGTCTAGATGAATGCAGATCCAGCAACACAGGCAGCTGGACTCCATGTAGGAAAAGCAAGCAGCTTGTTAGGCACCTCATCCAACATTTTAACGATTCACTGTCTTTACCACTGGCACTCTGGCTGCAGCTTGTACCATCTTAAGATGAACTGCAACAAGCCATGAGGTCTTTTTGAAAGCACCTCCAAAAGATAATCTCTACTAGAGAAGCAAAGTTAGCAGATCCATGGGAGAACCACTACTTGCAAGTTCCCAACCAAGTTGTACACCATACTGACCCAGAATTGTATCACTGACCCATCAATATCACTAAATTAAAATCCTGTACTCCCTCCTTAACAGCACTTTGGGAGTATCTACACAGCATGGCCTACACCATGATGTGATGATTCAGGTGTTGGACTGGGGAGGCAAAATCAGAAGTCTCATGACACCAGGTTATAGACTAACACATTCATTTAAAATCACAAGGTTTCAGAGCACTGCTGCTTCGTCAGATGAAGTGGAGGGAAGCGCACAGGCACAGAACATATAGACTATTCTCCGCTGATGTATTCTGTGCCCGTGCACTTCTATCCACTTCATCTGACGAAGGAGCCATGCTCCGAAAGCTTGTGATTTTAAGGAAACCTGTTGTACTATAACCTGCTGTCATGAGACTTCTGATTTTGGCCTACAACAACTCAAGATGGCGATTTGCCACTCCCTTCTACAGGAAACTGGGATGATCAATTATTTGCTGGCTGAGCCAGTGATGCTCATCAGGTAAGCAACCAATTAAAGACCAATTGGTGCACTATGTACTAAATATTTACTAAACTTCCATGTTGTCTGCCTGTTTTACCAGTCTATGTACTCCTGAAATGTCATTGTTTAGAAGATTTCCAAATTTCATAATATCTGCATATATTGAAATTATGCTGTCAAATAGAACTGATTTATTAATATGATTAATATACATGAATATACATTTTTTAAAACAATTATGGTAATACTGACTCTTATGGACTGTCAGTGTGCACTTCTCCCAGCCTCGCTTATGGCAGGAGTCACAGCAAATAATGTATTTAGTTCGCAAACAGTTTGTTTAGAGTCCAAACAATCCACAGTCAACAAACTCATGACTGCAGTTCTCTTTTGAAAGTTCCTAATAGAATCACTTCCGGCTAACTTTTGAGCAGAGTATTCTGAATCACAATAACTTGAGAGTTTTAGAAGAAGCGATCTAATTTTCCCTTTCTGATTACTCCCAGCTTTCTGGTTTGATCTCTCAAATGACTAGAGATAATTGAACTCAGTTCATGCCTCGCAGTAATGAGATTTAAATCTGAACATCGGGTTTGCTGCTCCAGTGTTAGTTTGAAATATTGTCACCTTGTTAAGTGGAAGTAATATTCTGGAACTACTTTTTCTATGGGACTTATAGTTCACTGTATATTGTAATGTGTTGATTACTCTGTGTTTTAGATTTTAGGTAATCAGATTCACATGCATGTGACATCTGACGAATATGGAGTGCGGGTCTCCAATCTGCTCATGTATGAGGCTGTGTGTTCAGATATTATCCGTCGCTGGGTCTACCCTTTGACACCGGAGACGAATTTCCCAGAAGATGAAAGAGGATTCAGTGTTCATCTGCGGCACAATGTCTATCGAGGGTCAGATGTCAGCCTGGGCCAGGGAAGTGTGGTTGAAGAAAATGTAGTGATTGGCCGAGGCACCATAATTGGGACTAACTGCTTCATAACCAACAGTGTCATTGGCTACAACTGTGTTATAGGTAGGCCATTGTACAATTTTGGCTTCAGTTAGCAGCACCTAGCCAGAATAGGTCTTGCCTTACCGTGACGTTAGTTTCTGACTGGCTACTTGTAAGCAATTTTCTGTGTAGTTTGTGTTTTTCTTAATCTGTGGCCAAAAAAACGTAAGAATTTAAGAATCCAGGAGTTTGACCCTTTGAGTCTTTTCCACCATTCATTGCAATCATGGATGATCTTCTACCTCAGCTGTAACTCCATGCAGCATCCTCAAATCCCTTAATTCCCTTGGTACCTAAAATTCAATCAATTTCTGTCTAGAATAATCTCAATAATTTAGCATCCATGACTTTCTGAGCCAGAACATTCTAAAGATTCTTTGAATGAAAAAATGTATCCTTATCTTAGATTTTTGGAGCAGCTTTGTGGTAGGGCCCACTAGGAAACGGGCAAATCTGGATTTGCTGATGTGTAATGAGGCACACTTGATTAGGGAGCTTAACGTGAAGAAACCCCTAGGGTTCAGTGACCATAATTTGGTAGAATTCACCCTACAGTTTGTGAGGGAGAAGCTTGAATCAGATGTAACTGTATTACAGTTGAATACAGGTAACTACAAAGACATGTGGAAGGCGTTGGCCAGATTTGATTAGAAGGGGAGCCTAGCAGGGAAGATGGTGGAGTAGCAATGTCAGGAGTTTCTGGGGGTAATTTGGGAGGCACAGCAGAAATTTATCCTAAGGAACAAGAAACATACTAAGGGGAGAATGAGGCAACCTGTAGAAAGAAGTGGTGAATCGCCATCTTGAGCTGATATAGGCCATGCTAAGTAAATATTCCCAAAGTACTGTTTGGGAGGGAGTACAGGATTTGAGTGAGGAGTGAAAGATTTGTGCCTGAGAGGCAGAGGGTGAGGGGGTGAGGAAAAGCAGAAAGTCCCACACCTGTCACCCCTGTTCTGACCCCCACTTAGTGATACTGATGGAACAGTGATGCAGTTCTAAGTCAGTATGGGGTACACCTTGGACTGGAATTTAAAAGTGGTGGTGCTCCCACTTAGTCCTTTCAAGCTCCACAGGCTTCTCTACAGGTTCATTTTGAAATTTTTGGCTTTGTTTTCAAATCTCCCGCCATAAATGAGTGTTCCCACCCTGTCTTACATATCTGGGAATACCCTCAGTTCCTTGAACACTGAGCTTCTTGACCCACTGTCTCCCTTCCCCCATAGCAGTGTTTTTTCAGATCACCTCTCATTTGCCACCTATCTAACACTGCTTCTCCTCACCCCTCTGTCCCTCAGACACAAATCTTTCACTTCTCACTCACTTCGCCTCTCAGGCATAGACTCACTCATAACTTCATCCTTAACTTCCTCTGCTCCACCTCATGCTTGTTCAACCAGTTTGCTACTCCTTTCAAGAATGCTCCATCCAATTTTGTCAGTGGTTCCTTCCTTTCTAAAGTCATTTTAAAAACTCTTTCATCTTGCCCAGCTGTTTTACCCCTCTCTTTTTCTTCCGCCAGACTTGCTGTTCATTAGTCTGCCTCCTTATTGTAGAACAACGTCCTTGACTGTCCACAATACTGTGCCAGCCCTCTCACAAGCACAGAGTTGCAGTGTTACATTACTGCAAAACAACAGAATCTAAGCTGCTTGTAACCAAGATGACGCTGCTTATACATTCACAGGATAGGGCAACGAATTCAGTCAATTATTCTTGTACTTCCACCAGGCACCAGTAATTCAAATTCATGACGATTGTCCACATGGACAAAAGAACATGCATACTATTTGATAATAATCACGGGCACACACGTACTGACAAAAGAGACAAAACCAGGAATAGCTGGAGAAACTCAGCAGGTCTGGCAGCATCTGTGGAGAGAAAGAAGAGTCAACATTTCGGGTCCAGTGACCCTTCTTTAGAACTGATTATGGCTAGGAGAAAGTTGGTATATATGCTGAAAGGAGGATGGAAGGTTCAGAAAAGGAGCAAACGGTAGGTGGAGGTAGAGCCCAGAGAGAGAGAGAACAGAAGTTGGGCAGACAAAGGGTTGGAATATAGGAAGCCCGGGAGAAAGCAAACCTGATAAGAGGGACTATTAGTGGGCGAAACTGGGTTGGCTGTGATTTTTGACAATAGCAGCCCTGTTGCAGCTGACTGTCATGAGGGTCATCTGCATATGCATGTGCTCTGAATGGCCATCTTTCGCATGAGGACATATATTCTTTGTAAAACATTCTGACATATCTTCTTTGTGTGAAGACAGGTCAAAGTACAGGCTATTTCTGAATAAACTATGACCTTTAAAATACAGAAGTTATAAATGGCCATTTGGTTCAACTAGTCAATATGTGCATTGGAATTGTAAGTGGGTCAGAATGCAAGGTTCCACTAGCAGTATTAATAGGTACCAACACCTATGAGAGGCTGTAGATGGCAAGTTGAGTAAACTCATCATTGTAGTCAATTGACAGTAGAAATGAACATACTCATCAAATGTATAATAGTTAAAATTTTCAAATCTCTAACCAATGACTTAAAAATGCTATAAAATCTCGTTTTGGGTGTTAACCAGTGTAGTAAATACTTAAGAACAGGAAGAGACTATTCAACTCCTCAGAGCTGCTCTCCATTCATTTAATTTGCATCACCTGAACTCCATCTCTCTGTATCTGCTCACAGGGGTCGTGTGGCACAATGGTAGTATCCCAACATCTAAACTAAGAGGCCTAGATTCATAGAGTCATATAGCACAGAAAGAGACCCTTCAGTCCAACTTGTCCATGCTGACCAGATATCCTAAATTAATCTAGTCCCCTTTGCTAGCATTTGGCCCATATGTCTCTGAATCCTTCCTATTTATATACCCATCCATGTGCCTTTTAAATGTTGTAATTGTACTTACTCTGGCAGCTCATTCCAAGCATGCACCACCCTCTGCGTGAAAAAGTTGCCCCGTAGGTCCCTTTCAAATCTCTCATTCGAGTCTCAACTGCTACAGAGATGTGTCATAACACCCATGGACAGGTTGATTTAAAACTACGTGATCCTCATAGCTAGGAGAGCTCTTGCAGCACAGTGGCAGTGTTCCTATGCCTAGTTATCCCTCAACCAATGTCACTTCTTTTTAATTAAAAGTAAATAATCTGCCTGTTTTGTGGTATAGTGCTGTGTATAAATTGGCAACTTAATTTCCTACACTGTTATAATAGGTGCATTTCAGCTATTGACTTTAAAGTGCTTTGGGATGACCAGTGGGTCTGCATAGGGGAGCAGGAACTCTGCTATCATCCTGCTATTGATCAGCAATTTCACTTCCTTTATAAATCGTAGTTCAGTCTCAGTCAGCATCTCACCCTTTCCTTCCCCTCATTCTGACCAATGAGCAACAGCCTTTTGTATACAGATTGCTTGCCAGGCTCCTCAGCAGTTATACTGGTTGAGTGCGGAGGAGGGGAGAACTCATAACCTGGTAAAAACTTTAAAATATCATTTAAGCATGAATAAGTGCTTTCCTCCACAGGAGACAATGTGAAACTGGACCAGGCCTACATCTGGAATAATGTTCATATTGGAGATGGAGTGGACATCTACAGATCAGTTGTGTGCAGTGACGTGGAGGTCAAACCTAAAGTCAGACTAAATGAGCATTGTGTTTTGGCATTTAACGTAAGTATGACTTATTCTTATGCAGAGAACTGCCTAAGTCCAGAGACCTCTACGTTAGGTGTCATCCAGGTGCATTCAATCTACATTCCTACTTCTCAAATGTAATCCATGTTTCAGCGGATACATCAGAATTCAATATGCAGGCATTCTTAGTTGTGTATTAGCTGAATTTTTGGGGGCTTTCCAGGCTCTTGCCTGAAGCTTTGCAAATATCACAGCAGTGTTACAAAAACAAGATAACATTAGCTCCCCTTAAAGAAACCTATGCTAATCACCTGATCCATTTGTGGTAGCAAATTTCCCATAGGATGATAGAATAGGACAGCACAGAAGGGAACCATTCAGCCCTCCAAGTCTGCTCTTTAAGTAAGTTCTCAATCTTATTTAAAATATCCTCTTTATTTGTAATTATGAAGATTGTTTAGACTGTGACGCACTGCATTTATTGCGAAATACAGTTTTGTTAAATTGCCAAGTGACATAAAAATCCAAGAGCATTCAGGTACTCAAAACAGTATGCCATGTGTAGGAAGCTGCAGTGGATGTGCCATAATCGATGCAGTCACACTTCCTGCAGGTAGTTGTGGGGCCTGATCTGACGCTTCCAGAAGGTACTGTGGTCTCAATGCATTTACCAGATCAGGAGGAAGATGAAGATGAGTTCAGTGACGATGGAGGAATGAATCACACACCTACAAAAGCAAAGGTGAAAGGTGAGTCAGATTCACTTCAAGTATCAGTCAGCCTCACTCTCCCCTCCAAGTCAAAGTTGTGTCCACATCCTACGCAAGCACCATCCAGGGTGAAAACCGCAGTGAAGATGAAGTGCTGTGCAGTCAGAGGTTGCCATTTTTTTGGCTGAAATATTAAGTCAAAACCCCTATATATCTGTTCACATGGATACAAAATATCATACACTGTTATTTTGGAGAGCTTGAAGGGGAGTTCTTTCCTAGTTGCTTTTAACCAATACTCAATTGGAACTATAAAGAATCAATTGACTTGTCATTTATCTCAATGCTGCAGTACCTAGAGCTACACAAATTGACTGTTATTTTGGAGTGACTAACAGTTCTTTCACTGTGAATTACTTTGAGATGCCCAGTGAATGTTCCAATCCAAGCAGTGAAATGGCTTGTTTAATGTTCGTATTTAACAGGTTGGCTGGGAGTGGTTACTGAGCTGAGTGATCTCAGGTAGGGCGATGTTTACAAGCATACAAAATACGAGCAGAAGTAGATCATTCAGCCCCTCAAGTCTGCTCCACCATGCAATAAGATCATATCTGATCTATTTAAGTTTCGTTTCCACATTCCATCTACCCCTGATAAGTAGATTTAAAGACCTACCATCGCCTTCTGAGGCAGAAAACTCGAGTGTTGGTCTCAATGATATGGATGCAGAATGCCAAGCATGGTTCCCTCTCTTGATCACTTTATGTCCCTGGCTGATGTTGGTATTATGAAAGGACAGGACTGGGTTTGACTTTGATGTATTTCACAGTTATGTGTCCTGATGATCGCTAACTCATGTTGCAAATTTGGGTAGAATACTTGTGGATTGGAAGGTAGGATGTTGAAATTTGGTGTTTTTAAAAATTGATGTTTGTAAAATGATCGGTGGGGAAGAGTTTGTGGTCTCTTTAAAGGTGATGCGTTTTTTTTCTAGGCTTGGAGATTTACAAATATGTGCAGGTGCACAGAGGGCTCCTGAAATTGAAACATTGTACAAAAGGCTGACAGTTAGAAACCCAGGCAGTAGGCTTGTTTTGCTAGCAAGGCAACCAGTTTGAACATAAACCAATTAATTTAAACCAGGCACTTAGAGACTAAAAACCAATTAAATTTACACTTGATGATTTTGACAACCTAGGACTGATCCTATTGTAAGTAATTGATAGGTCGTCAAGGGTATGAAAGAAGAGGGTATTTGAAACTCGGTATGATAGTAACCGCCATCTGCTAGAGTTAAGAACCAACAACTCTAAAGAGAAAAATCACTGGCTCTCTCAGAATTCTCTAAGCTCTCGGAAAACCATCATCTGACTAAAGGTACAGCGGCACTCTTAGCTAATATTCCTGACACAAGAATTTGACGGAGAAAGGTGTTCCTGACTGAAGATCAGTAGAGAAGACACACAACATTCCAGAAGACTCATCCTGGCTGTATTTCGAGAGACTAAGTTCTAAATAATTTTTTATTATTAATTTGGTTTGTATGAGTGGGACTTATATTTACTGGAACAGCGTACGATTAGAATTTTGTTTTATTCGGGACTAGTTAGTAGTTAAGGGGAATTTGAGATAACAAGGTGGAGAGCTGGATGAACACAACTGGCCAAGCAGCATCAGAGGAGCAGGAATGCTGACGTTTCGGGCCGAGACCCTTCTTCAGAAATGGGGGAGGGGAAGGGGATTCTGAAATAAATAGGGAGAGGGGGGAGGCGGATAGAAGATGGATAAAGGAGAAGATAGGTGGAGAGGAGACAGGCAGGTCAAAGAGGCGGGGGTGGAGCCAGTAAAGGTGAGTGTAGGTGGGGAGTTAGGGAGGG